CAGCAGCCGTCGCCGCCGCCACAGCAGCCTCCGCCGCCGCCGCCGCAGCCGCCGCAGCAGCAGCAGCCGCCGCCCCAGGCCCCCCCCATGGAGCCCGAGGCCCCGGATTCCCGCAAGAGGCCCCTCGAAACGCCCCCCGAGGTGGTCTGCACCAAGCGCAGCAACACGGGAGGTGAGAAAGGGCTGCGGCTCTGGGCGGGGGAGCGGGCTGGGGACCTCGCCTTTCTCCATCCTTCCCCCCCTCCCATGGCAGGTGCAAGGGATCTGGGGAGGGGAGAGACACCCCTCCCCGAGGCTGGGGACATAGCGGGGAGTTGAGGAGGGGGCCGGACCTCCTCCTCCTCTCGCCGAGGCCCGGGGCTGGGAGCTTTGTCTGCGAGGAGAGGGGTTGGGGGGGAGGGGGTGATAAGTGTCCTTGGGGGGCGCAGAGGATGGGGGGCGTGGGAGCCTCAGGGTGGGTGTCTGTGTGTCCTTGAGGGGTGTGTGATGTGACCCTTTCGGGGCAGGGGTGTTCCTGGGGCTCGCGTGTCCTAGCTGGGGGAGGGGAAGGAGTAGAGGCCTGTGGACCGGGAGCTTCCCAGCCTCCCTCCCTGGGGATGTCCTGAACATGGGTTGTCCCGGAGGGAGGCTTGTGTGGCCCTGGCAGGATCGTGCGTGGGGACAGGCTGGGTGGGTGTGTGGGGTGAAATGGAGGAAAGGGTGGGTGTGTAAAGCTAGGTGGGAGAATGTGAGGCTAGGACAGGTGTGTGTGTGTGTTTGCGTGTTTGTGTGTGCCCTCTACGGCCTGGATGTGTGACATTAGGGATCAGGAATATGACAGCGTAGAGGTGGTGTGTGAGACAGACAGGGGCAAGAGGACAGGGGCTGGGCTCCATGTTTGAGACCCTCCAGCGGGGTACGTGTGACAAGGGAAGGTGTGTGCTTGTCACCCCCGAGGGGGCTGTGGCAGAGAGTGTGACACATGAGTGAGAGGGTGTGTTAGATGCAAGGGGGTGTGTGGGGGACGCCGAATGGGCTGGCCCTGGGCATGAGCCAGAAGAGGCCGTGTGGCTCAGAGGAAAGGGGTTCAGTGTGTATGACACAGGTGTGGCTGGGGCAGAATGGGACCCAAAGAAGCTGGTGAGGGGCTGTGACAAAAAAAGGGTGTGGGTGTGACTCCAGAGAGGCTGTGGCTGGGTGTGACACATGGAGGTGTGCAACAGTGACATCAGAGGGGGTGTGTGCAATAGGGAAGGTGGGTGTATGACGAGGGAGAGGCCGGGGCTTGTGGGTGAAATGCACGAGGGTGTGTAAAAGGGAGAAGGAAGGATGGGTCCCCATGTGACAGGGCACGTGTGTGTATGACACCAAGCTCTGTGTATGGGTGTAACAAGGAGAGGTGTGTGTGTGTGAAATGGCTGAGTGTGTGACACCAGAGATGGGGGGATGATTCTGCCTGTGTTTGACAAGGGAAGGTGTGTGTACTGGAGATTGCCCAATGTTTGACACCACGGAAGGCGGTGTGAGGGACAAGAGGGGACCTCCCTGGGTGTGTGACCGAAGGAGGTGAGCGTACCAGAGAAGAAAAAGCCCAGCTGGGAACTCTAGGTTCATGTCCTAGAGTTCATGGGGGGCTCAGGAAGAGGTGGGGTTTATTGGGGTCCTCAGAGCCCAGCCCTCTAGCTCCCTGGTAGGAGGGAGACCCCAGAGCGGACAAGCCCCTCCCCGCGGTCACCTTGCCAAAATCTCCACTTCCTCTGGCCTTTTCCTCCGGATGGGAGAGGGATGGCTTCAGGCAGAGTGCACCCTTTCCTCTCCACCAGGCCTGGTAGTGGGTGGGGTGGGGCCTGCCACCTCCTGCCTGCAATTGAATACAAGTCGACTTTCTTCCTCCCATCCTAGCCTTCCCCCACCTCCATCCAGGTGGGACAGGAATCAGGGACTCCCTGGATGCCCGTGAGGGTGTCCGGCAGAAATTGGAGGAAAGGGAAGTTGGGGGAGGGGATGGGAGGGAGTTTCCTGTCCTTCTGCTCCCCCACCACCAGCACACACATGAATATGTCCCCGACTTCCTTCCCTCCTTCCTGCCTCACTGCCGTTCCCAGTCCTGGAGAGATCAGGGACCCAGGAGGTCCCTGAGCCCAGCCAGACTGTCTAGCCCTCCACCCACCAGCCTCCAGAGGGTAGGGGGTTCCCACCTTTCTCTTAAAGGGGCTGAGATGCTCAAAATCTGATCACTTCAAAGCACAACTTAACACTGACGCCACTGCTGCTAATAACAGTCACACCTGCCTACTTGGCAACTACTATTCTGAGATATGGGTTATGGACTAGACCCCTGGGAGGGATGATCTGAGCATCTTTTAACAGATGAGGAAAACTGAGGCTCAGCAAAATGAAACCACTTGCCCAAGGTCACACGATTTCTAAGTGATGGAGCTAGAATTTATCCAAGCCTGGGCTGCCTGATTCTGGAGCTCCTGGACATAACCACTGTGCTATCCTGCCTCCCTCCACAGCGGGGAAACTAGGACAAGCCTTGAGGGACTGCCTCCTCCGGACTGTCTCCCACCCCACTTCTGTTTACCCATAGGAAAACTGAGGCCGGGAGATGCAGAGGGATGGGCCTCCACTGACAGAAACACACTCAGGGGCAGGGCTGGGCAAGGGTCCAAAATTGAGGGCTTCTTTTGATAATATACATTCATAGCTGGGGAATGCTAGGTCAACCCATTCCCTTTCCTGAGCCTCAGTGTCCTCGTCTGCCATATGGACACATAAAAATGACCACAAGGGGCCAAGTGCAGTGGCTGTTGTTTGCAATCCCAGCACTTTGGGAGGCTGAGACAGGTGGATCATTTGTGGTCAGGAGTTCGAGACCAGCTTGGCCAATATGGGGAGACCCCCGTGTCTACTAAAAATACCAAAATTAGCGGGACATGGTGTCAGGCACCTGTAGTCCCAGCTACTCAGGAGGCTGAGGCAGGAGAATCGCTTGAACCTAGGAGGCAGAGGTTGTAGTGAGCCAAGATCACACTACTGCACTCCAGCCTGGGTGACAGAGCAAGACTCTGTCTCAAAAAAAAATGACCACAAGGAAAATAGTAACAATAGCTACTTATATTGTTGTTTCATGCTTTACATGCAATTTCATATCATTCTCCCAACATGCTATGGTGGAATAATAATAATCAGTTGTAATTGTGGCTAGCACATATGATACTACAGTACAACTTGAATTATTATGGGAAGTGTTTGACATGGATCAGTTTTTTAATCCTTACAATTCTATCTTGTTAACCCATGTTACGAATGAAAGACTGAGGCACAGAGAGGTTAAGTCACTTGCCCAATGTCACTCAGCTGATAAGCAGCAGAACCATGAGGTGAATGCAGGCAGCTGGCTCCATTGTGTGGGTAGACACTAGAATGGACCCTATTTTCAGATGGGGAAACCGAGGCTGAGAGGGGTAAGGGCTTTTCCTGGGTGTCCCAGCAAGCAGTGGCAGACAGGACAGATGATATCCTTGCCCCTCCTGCCTGCGTCTGGGAGCAGATGAGAGAAGTGGAGGGGACGCTGGCGGTTCACACTCGCTTCTGGGCACTGTGAGTTGCTGGCAGATGCCGCTGGGAGGAAAACAAGGCACGAAAGGCAGGAAGTCTTGGGTAAAGAGGTTGGATGGAAACTCCAGTCAGGGATTCTTTGCAGAAATAAATGACCCCAGTCTGGCGGGACAATAACAAACAGTGCCCCCTTGATAGAGATCCTAACTTTTACACTGCCACTGTGACCCCTGTACTCCTGACTGTATGCCCGCCTCTGTCAACTCCCCCAAAATAAAAACCCATATACAGACACACATAACATATCTCACACCCTCGGCATAGCTTACACCAGCCAGATCTTGCTCCTGACGTCCCTCTTTTTTTTTTTTTTTTTTTTTTTTGAGACAGGGTCTCATTCTGTCCCCCAGGCTTGGAGTGCAGTGGTGAGATCATGGCTCACTGCAACCGTGACCTCTCCGACTCAGGTGATGCGCCCACCTCAGCTTCCCCAGGAGCTGGAACTACAGGTGTGCACCACCATGCCCCACTAATTCTTTGTATTTTTTTTGTAGAGACAGTGTCTTGCTATGTTGCCCAGGCTGGTCTCAAATCTCTGAGCTCAAGCGATCCACCCACCTCAGCCTCCCAAGGTGCTGGGATTACAGGTGTGAGCCACCATTCCCAGCCACATCCGTCATTCTTTTTGTTGTTGTTGTTTGTTTTATTTTGTTTTTTGAGACAGTTTCACTGTGTCTCCCAGGCTGGAGTGCAGTGGAGCTATCTCGGCTCACTGCAACCTCTGCCTCCTGGGTTATTAAAGCGATTCTTGTATCTCAGCCTCCCGAGTAGCTGGGGTTACAGGCATGCACCACCACACCTGGCTAATTTTTTTATTTTTAGTAGATACTGAGTTTCATCATGTTGGCCAGGCTGATCTTGAACTCCTGACCTCAGGTGATCCACCTGCCTCAGCCTCCCAAAGTGCTGGGATTACAGGCATGAGCCACCACGCCCAGCCACATTTTTTTTATCACAAAGTCAACATCACCAGGGTTAAGAGCCCCCTTCTAGAAGGAGATCTTTCAAGATTCGTATCTTGGCACTGTCATGTGCTTGGTGTGGAATCCTCAGGCGAGTTATTTCACTGCTCTGAACCTCAGCCTGCTTGTCTGGAATATGGAGGCAGGAAGATCCACCTCTCTGGGCTGTCTGCATTAGATGAGATTGTGTATGTGAAGCACATAGCGTAAGGCCTGATAGATGGTAAGTGCTCAGCAAACAGTCGCTATCATCATCATCATTATTATTATTATTATTAGTGCCACTGAGAATGTCATTTTCCCTTTCACCATCCAAGGGTGATTCACTCCAAGAAAACCATGGCCCACCTGCCTTTCTCTCACTCAGAGACAGTCACAACTCAAGGCAGCATCACACCTTTCAGCATCTCATCCCTACAGAAGCACACTCTGGTTGTATTGCATTTCACACCAAATAGGCAACACCGCCATTCACAGAAACACATCACATGCCTGAAGTCCCGCCCCTCCTCGGCGGCACTGCTCCCACCCCACACCCTCACCATCCTCTGCCAGCAGGATCCCCACAGGCTCCCGGACAATACCAATGTCAAACCCCAGCCTCCTC